GCGGGTCGAGCGTGATCGTCTCGGCGGGCAGCTTCTCGAGCAGCGCCACCACCTGCAGGGGAGATGCGGCGAGGTATGGTGGCGAGATCTGGCGAGATGTGGCGAGCCAGTTTGGTGCCCTTGCCCCGCGCCGAGGAGATTGGTGCGGCGAGGTGCGGCGAGGTGGCGAAGTGCGGCGAGGTGCCGAGCTGCGGCGAGGTGGCGAGGTGCGGGGAGGTGTGGGGGAGGTGCTGGGAGGATGGGGGGTGCGATGCGGCGGCGCCTCCGATCAGGGGGGCGCCCGGGGCGGTGAACATCGGGCTGTATCTCGGCTGTATCTTGGCTGTATCTCGGCTGTATCTCGGCTGTACCTCGGCTGGATCTCGGCTGGATCTCGGCTGGATCTCGGCTGGATCTCGGCTAGATCTTGCCTCCCATCGGGTACCCTCCCATGCGCCCGTACCCTCCGCCGTACCCTCCCTCGTGCGAGAAGCGGCACGAGGCGCCCCGCGTGCATTGCCCCTTTTGGAAGTCGAAGCACACGCCTGGGGGCGAGGGCGCGGGACCAGCTCGACGGGCAGGCGGAAGGCACCGGGGCGGGGCTGAGGCCAGCCGCCATCGGGCAGAGGAGGTTGGCTCACCGCGGGCGCAGCCTCCCCCAACTCGGCTCATCTCGGCTCCTCTCGGCTCCCCTCGGCTCCTCTCGGCTCCTCTCGGCTACTCTCCACCGCGCGAGCGGCCGCCTCCCATCGGCCCCATGTTGGAGCGCTCGACCTGGAGGGGTTGGAGGGAGGGAGGGAGGGAGGGAGGGAGCGAGGGAGGGAGTGGGTGAGGGAGCGAGGGAGTGGGTGAGAGAGTGAGTGAGGAAGGGGAGGGGCGGCGGCGGGCGGCGCGGCGGCGGCGGTGGGTGGCGAGGCGGCGGCGACACCTGGCAGCCGCCCGTCACCTGCTCGGCCAATCTCGGCCAATCTCGGCTAATCACGGCTACTCTCGGCTTGTCTCCACCTGGCAGCCGCCCGTCACCTGCTCGGCCCGCTCCTTGCCGCGCCGCTCGTCGTACACCTGCGCGTGAGCGTGCGCGGCTGTCGGCGCCGGCGAGGTGAGGGGGGGGGGGGGGGACAAGTTGCAGCGGAGTGAAACGCGGGTGAGTGGCAGTGTGGCAGAGGCGGCGGAGAGTGCGGCGAGGGTAGCATCGGCGGTGCCGGCGGGCGGAGCGGGTGGGGGCGAGGGCGGCGGTTCCGGCACGGGCGGGGGCGGCGGCGGCGCGAGCGGCGAAGGCGGCGGCGGCGGCGGCGCGGGCGGAGAAGGCGGCGCGGGCGGTGCCCCCGGCAAGGGCGGCAAGGGGCTGCGGGGCCGGCCAGGCGAGCCTTGACAAACTCAACCTGGCTGCCCGCCTCAAGGGCGTTGCCGTCAAGGATGTTGGAGAAGTGGCAGAAGAGGTCCTCGCCGCCTGCGTCGGCACAGCCGGCGGGCGGGCCGTCAGCGAGCGGGCGAGGCGGCCCGCCGGGGATTGGGCCAGATGGCGGGAGATGAGGGCGCGGCACGGCGAGGATGGCCGGGTGCGGGAGGCGGAGGCGGCTGAGGCGCGGGCGCGCGGGTTGCGCGGGTCCGCCCGCGGCCTCGCCCAGCGCCGGCGGGGCGCCCCTCCCCCCTCCACGCGCACAGCGCGGGCGCGCATGAGGCCGGGCCACAGTTGTGCGCACCGTCGTCCGGCTCGATGAAGCCAAAGCCGCGGTCGGCGGTCCAGCGCGCCACCTTGCCGCGGTAGCGCGTCTCTTCGGACGTCGGCGCGGGCGGAGGGACCTCCACCGGCGGCGGCGACGCCCCGCCCTCGGTCGGTGCGAGGGAAGGGTCCATTGGTCGGGGCACAATTCGGCAATGTGAATTGGCGCTAGTTCCGGCGTCCGCTCGCGCTTGCCTCGCCGCATTGCTGTGCCTCCGCGATCTGCATGTCTAGACCCCCGCGACGCCTATTGCTCACGGAACCCGCCGCCCCCTCATACCGTATCTTAGAATCGCTCACACCGCCGAGTCCCACATCGAGTCCCAAAGGTACGAATGTCACCACTCTCTCTCTTCACACTCTGCTCTCTCTCTCTCGGGCCGTCGCGACCCGCGCGCGCTCGCAGTCACGCGCTCTCTCTCGCTGCTCGCGGCTCGCTCTGAGCTGCTCAATCTCGTGCGCGTGCGCGAGTCTCCGACGCCGGGCTCTAGCACCCCTCGGACCACCCGGGTGCTTCTGCCACGGGGGCGAGGGAGGGGTAGAAGAGACTGTGCCGGCATCGGCGCACTCACCGCACGGCTCGATAGCCGCGCTGCAGCTGCCGCCGCATCAACCCTTTCGCCTTCTCCAAGCCCACCGCGTGCCATGCTCGTCTTGCTGGTGCATCGTTCGTGCGGCGTGGCCTCGCCGCTCGCCCCGCCGCGTGTGAACGACGCCACCATCGCAAAGGCCCGCGCCTACTTTGCTCTCGGCAATCGAGAGCTCGGCCCGACGAACGCTGCCGACCTGCGAGAGGCGCTATCAGAGGATTTTGAGTTTGTGGCGCCGCTGGTGGGCCCGCTCGGCAAGGAGGCGCTCATTGGCGCAACCGCGAGCCTTGACCTCGAGGCTGCGATCCCGGACTTTGACGCCCGCTACCACGACTTTCGGATCGACGCGGACGACCCGAACCGCGTCTGGTGCACGATGCGATGCCGTGGGACGCACACAGGCACGCTCAACTTTGGAGGGATCCAGGCGGAGGCCAAGTCGCCGCCCGTGGCCTTCGAGTCGCCGCCAGAGGCGGTCTCACTCCGCTTCGACGGCGCGGGTAAGCTGCGCGAGATCACGACAGGCTACCCGATGGACCGCCGAGTTGGTACCACGGGCGGGCTTGGTGGGCTCTTCGGCGTTCTGGAAGGCATCGGCGTCCCTCTCCCGCCGGTGGTCACGCGCTCCTGCGGCGACCTCCTCGGCCCGGCGCTGCGCCTGCTGCGCCTGGCGCCGCCGCCTCCGGAGCCGTCGCTGCTCGAGGTGCCGCGGCTGGCGACTTCGGATGCGCTGTCTGAGGAGCGACTGCTCGAGCTATGCGCCGCGCTGCTTGAGACGGACTACGGCGCGGAGCGGCCCGAACTGCTCGCCGACTCGTTCACCTTCACCGGCCCCGTGGTTGGCCCTCTCCGCAAGGCTGAGTTCCTCTCCTCGTATGGAGAGTCCAACCTGCGCGAGGTTTCTCCCCAGACTCGCCCCACCTCCACTTGTGTGCATAGACTGCGAGGGATGTTCACACCTCCGCCTGTGAAGCAGGCTTTCCCGGACCTGGAGTACAGCTACCGCGACGTGCGCGTCTGCCCCTTCGACGTCAACCGCGTCTGGTACACCTACTCGCGCAGCGGCACGCACTCGGCGACGCTCCGCCTCCTCGGCTCGAGCTACCCGCCCACAGGCAAGCGGTGGGAGGCGCCGCCGGAGTGCGGCTCCGCTCAGTTTGACACTGAGGGCCGGTGCGTCGCGCTCACGGGCGGCTACGTGATGGACCGGCGGATGGGCAACACCGAAGGCCTTGGAGGCGCACAAGGGGAATGAGAGGGGGGGGGGGGTGAGAGGATTGCCCTGTTTGCATGTGTGCCCGTCACGCTCGCCTCGGCCTCCCCTTCGACCCCGCCGCGCCGCCTGCAGAGCCAGCGGCCCTTACTACTCGTTCACCTTCTTCTAGGCCTCTTCGGGATGTGCGTCGCCCTCGGCATCCCCACGCCGTACCCCGCATGGCTGGTGCGCACGCCGCAGCAGAACTGGCAGCGGCTGCTCGCGAGCAGGTAAGCGGGCGAAGGTGTGGAAGCTAAGAGAGCACGATCATCGGGCCGTCGATAACGGGAGATTTGCTTCTGGGGATCTGGCGCGTTCTCAACCGTTTTTCTCTTTATCTGGCCCCGACTGCGATCGGGGCCAACGGCGGATATTTTTGTGCCGAAACAGAAAGAAACAAAGCGGAGTAGCACGTAACAAGAACCACGATTCGCACATGTGTGCTGCTCTAGGGATTAAGGGAACATGCTCTCACCTCTCTCTGAGTGAGGGTTTTATGAAACCAGGGAAATGTGCGGGAACCGGGCCCTCAGCGTTCCTTTTTGACTTCGCCGCCAACGCCACTTGCACTTCCTGCGGCAGCGTCCGCCACCGAAGAGGCGGCCGGCAGTGCGGCGAAGGAGAGCAGCAGCAGGCACGCATAGCCCGCGGCCGCGAGTGCCGGCAGCGCCTGCAGGCCGCCGTACTGCATCGCGGCCCCGCCGAGCAGCGGCGCGAGCACACCGCACCCGGACTGCAGGACGTCGAGTACGGCGAGCGACGCGCCGAGCTCCGCCTTTGGCACGAGCCTCGCCAGCAAGCTCTCCAGCGCCAAGCCCGCCAGCAGGCCGGCTGCGAGCTTGAGCGGCACGCAGACCAGCGCGTACGCCCAAACGTCGGCGAACGCCATCTCGAGCACGGCGGCGGCGGCTGCGAGGCAGAGACTCGCTCGAAAGGCGGACGCCTAATCTCGGCGAATCTCGGCTGATCTCGCGCGTAGGCTGCAGCGACGAGGCAGAGGCCCCAAGGTGGACGCCTCGCCGACCGCGGCGACAGCGCGGCCAGCCACGAGCGCCGAGAAGGCTGCGGTGCCGAGCGCCTAGATCTCGGGCGATCTGGGCTACTCTCGGGTACTCTCGGGTGAGCTCGAGAAGGCTGCCCGTGCCGAGCGCCTAGAGCCGGCCTGGAGGCGGTCACGCGCCGCCGCCCTCTCCCCGTGGCAGCACGCGGCGAGAGGAGACGGGTACTCTCGGGTACTCTCGGGTACTCTCGGGTACTCTCGGGTACTCTCCGGTACTCTCGGGTACTCTCGGGTACTCTCGGGTACTCTCGGGTACTCTCGGGTACTCTCGGGTACTCTCGGGTACTCTCGGCGAGGGTAGACGCCGCTCCTTCGCGGTGGTGAGGTAGCCGAGGCGAGAGACGTCGAGGCCGAAGCGGTCCATCTCCCACGAGGCCTGTGGGTGTGTGGGGCAGGTGTCCGAGTGTACCCGAGATCACGCGAGATTATCCGAGATGGCCCATCTCCGAGGAGGCCTGCGGGGCAGGGGGCTGTGGGGCAGGCGCGTGAGTGAGTGAGTGAGGACGTTGGGTGCGAGTGTTTGGGTGCGAGGTTGCGCGGGCGGCGGCGCTAAGTGCGAAGGTGCCTGGAGCGAGCCCGCCGCGCGCGCAACGAGTCCGTACCCAACCTTGAGGGCGAGCAGCCTCGCTATGGCAGAGCTGCCGAAGACGCGCCGCGCCTTGTCTCGGAAGCCCCGTGCCGCCGCCGGCTTGGTGGCGGACGCTGCCGTGTGGCCGCTGCTGCCGCCGCCGCTGCCGCCGCCACCGCCGCCGCTGCCAGGCCTCGGCGGCGTCAGCGGAAGAAAAGAGAGGACGAGAGACGCGCACACCGCGTAGAGGGAGACCGCCACCGCGGACGGTGCCGACGGCGACAGCCCGCGGAGGATGCCGGTGACGGAGGAGCCGGCGACCCAGCCAAACGTGGCGGCCGAGGAGGTGAGGCCGATCGCGCGCGCGCGCGTCCGGTCCGAGCTCCACTGCAGCGTCATCGCCTTGCTCGATGTCATGGTCTGCTTCACCAGGCCGACCACCACTCTGGAAGCGGCGAGGAGCCACACCGACGTGGCGAAGCCGACCATGGCGTAGCTGACCGCGGCACCGGCAAAGGAGAGGAGCAGCACGCTTCGCCGGTCCTCCAAGTGGTCGCCGACAAAGCCCATCACGAGGCCGCCGCAGAGCTGGGAGGCGGAGTAGATGGAGCCGACGAGGCCTCTGTAGACCGGCTCGACACCGAGCTCCTTGTACCGCGCTGGGAGGAGCGGCACGACGAGCGACACAGCCAGCATGTCGAGCGCCACGACAAAGGCCAGCACGTACGCGTGTGGGGAGAGGCGGTCCGTCATCTCGGGAGTGCGTGCGTGTGCCTCGATGTATACTCTCCTTCAACCTTCAACACGCACTCACACGGGCACAGGCGAAGCACAGGCGAAGGCATGAAGCCTGACAGCGGTCGCCCAGCGGTGTTGCGAAAAAAGTAAATACCCAACAGTGTCCAGTCCGGGCCTGGCTGTTCTTCACCTTTCTACCTATGTATGTAGGTAAGGAGGTGATGAGGACTCAGTTATGCGCGGCGGGCGGTTAGAGACGTTACGGGAGCAGCTTTCGAGAGTGCCGCGAACTGGCGAACTGGTTCATGAACTGGTTCGGTGAGCATTGCCCTCGAACTAGTTTCCCAGAGCATTGCTCTCGAAAAGAAAGAAAAAGCTGAACCGACGGGAAGCTTGGCTCTTTCTTGAATTCTTGCTTGAAGAAAAAGAGAACCATCGGGCCGCTGTGTCTCCTGCTCTCGTCGGTCCGAGACGCCATTCCCAGCGCGACATCCTTTCGATGAACAGCACCGGCACTGAATGGCTGCGTTCGATCCGCTCGGGCGGCTTCTGCGAGTCCCTCTTGGCGCTCTCAAACCGCACCGGCCCTTGGCCCGAAGAGCCGCCATTCGTGGGCGAGCGTCCCGGCAAGCTTGAGCCAGGTGCGGCGGCGACCGCGGCATTCATCATTTTTCTCGGTGGGTATGAGCTGTTGACCGCCAGACACTCGATCCCGGTGGCCCGCTATCTGAACATCCTGATCCTGCTCAATGGCATCACATCGATGATGAATCACATCACCCACAACGTCTATTTCGACTTCTGGGATGGCGCGAGCATGATCCTGGCGGTGAATCTTGCTGCTGCGCTGTGGTTCGAGACGCTGGTCGAGCTCGTGTGGCCACGGTGGTGCTCGTGCTGCGTGTCCGCCGGGCCGTCGCTACGCACCGTCTGCATCGGGTGCGTCTGGCTGCTCGTCTGCGCGGTCATGACGCCGCTCGGCATGACAAGGGTCGCGCCGTTTGGCGGGCTGCTTGCGATCCCCGGAAGCTTTGTGCTATTCTTCAACCTACCGATCCTCTTGATGGTGCTCACCGCGGCGGCGATGCTACACTGCGGCATGTCGCACATGATCCAACCCACGGGCTCGCACCTGGTCTCGACCGCCACATCGGACGAGCCGGCGGGGCTTTGCGAGGGCGACCAGAAGGACTCGCCTGCGCCTGCTTCCGAATGGGCGCTGCTGGGCGCGGCACGCGTGTACCTCTGGGTCGGGGTGGCGTCGTATCTCTTCGGCTTCGTCTGCTGGAACGTCGTCGAGCAGGGCTGCGACGCCATGCCCGACGGCTTTCGTGCCATCGGCCACGCGATTTGGCACCTCGGCGCCGCGTACGGCCTGCACTGCCTCTTCTGCCTCCTCATCTTCTTCCGCGCCGTTCTCGATGCGCGGCGCTTCGACGGCCGGTGGCGCTTCCGCTTCCGCTCGAGCCCGTCCACGTTGCTTCGCGTGTGGCTCTGCGTCTTGCCGGTGCCGGAGGTGCTGGAGCCCCCGCTAGGCATGTCGGTATGACATGGCCGCGCATGAGGTTTCACCCTCTCGGGGAAGGGCGGGAATCGCAAAGGCAAGGTGCTGACGGACAGAGAACGAGTTTTGCCTGCCGATCGATATGTAGATGTGTCGCCGCTCCAGAGGTCGTGTGGCTGTGCATTAAGATACCTACCACTTAGCAAGAAACTCTGTGGCGCCTCAACTTCACCCTAACCTACGGGCGGTCACCGCCCCCTTGACGGCAACGAGCCCGAACCCAGTCGCCTTCGCGGTTTATCAAGCGTCCTCATTCGCCTGAATGCTGTCAATCCAGGACGTGCTCCGCTACGAGACGGTGCTAGTCCAGCGCCACAGCATGATGGCCGCGTTCACCGTCATCCTCTTTGGAGTGGCCCTCGTCGTCCGCAAACTCCGCAGGCGGACAAAGTCGGCATCGCCGCTCGCCGTCGCTGAGGCTTCTGGCTCAAAGCAGCAGCGCAATTTTCGCTTCATCGACACGAGCCATACGGGCCGTCTGTTGCGCAACATGCGGCTGCACGTCGCAGCCGCGGCGCCGCCGCTCCGGCCGTGGCTGCTCAAGAGCCGGCGCTCTGAGGCCGAAAGTGATGCATTCGCGGCAGAGGTGGCGCCGTCTGGACCGGCGAGGAGCAGGGCGCCGAGCGCCGCGATCCCGTGCCCCGCGCTGGAGAGCGACAGCACCGCCGACCCGCCTTCGCTGCTTGGCTCCTCTTCCGAGCTGCATACGGTGGCCCGCTGCTGCCGCCGCCCCTCACTGTCCCCGCTGTCGCCACTGCTGCCACCACTCCCTGTCCCCGCGTGTGTCGCCACTGCTGCCGCCACTCCTGGGGGGGGGCGTGTATGAAAGGATGGCCCACCGCAGCGCTCACTGCCATGCGCGACTTGCAGGTGCTCCCGCTCGCAGCGCTGTGCCCGCTGCGCGCCGCGCTGCCGGTTCGGCTGCGGCAGCACGACTGGCGGCTGGCCTTCTCGACCGACCAGCACGGCTGCTCGCTGCAGACCCTCTACCGCCGCCTCGCCTCGCGCGGCCCCTCGCTGCTCGTGGTGCTCGACGCGGACGGCAGCGTCTTCGGCGGCTTTGCTTCCGAGTCGTGGCGCGCAGACGCGTCGCACTACTTTGGCACGGGCGAGCGCCCCCCGCCCGTCACCGCCGCCCGCCGCCCGTCCACCCGTCCCCTGCCGCCCGTCACCGCCGCCACCCGCCCGTCCCCTGCCACCCGCCCCTCCTCGAGGCGGCGGGTCGGGGCACGGCACCGACGCACCACCACCACCACCACCACCACCACCACCACCACCACCACCACCACCACCACCACCACCACCACCACCACCACCACCACCACCACCACCACCACCACCACCACCACCACCACCACCACCACGACGCACGGCGATGTGAGGCGTACCGGGCGCCTGTCAGGCGAGTGCTTCCTCTTCACGGCGCACCCGCGGCTGAGGGCCGCTTCCTCACGCGCGGCACCGACCTCTCCCCTCCCTCTCCTGGACCTCTCCTGACCCTCTCCTAGGTCTTCCCGTGGACGCGGTCCGACAGCCGCTTTGTCCTGGGACCTTTCCTGGACCTTTCCTGGACCCTTCCTAGACCCTTCCTAGACCTTTCCTGTAGGTCCGACAGCCACTTTGTCCACGGCTCGGCCTGTGGCATCGCGTTTGGCGCGCGGGCGCGCGGCGCCGGCTCGGCGCGCACGGCGCTGCACCCGGGCCTCTACCTGGACGAGAGTCTCGAGTTCGGCTCGAGCGGCGGCGGAGGGGCGGACTCCACCTACGGCGACGGGCCGCTGGGCCGGGAGGCGAGAGGCGACGCGAGGGCCCGAGGCGACCCGAGCTTGCCCGAGAGTAGGCAACGAGCCGCTGGGCGGGAGGCCAGAGTTTCGCGCCCTAGTGGTGGAGTGCTGGGTCTTCGAGGGCAGCGCCAGACGCTCCTCGGCGAGCCGAGGCTCCGCTCGCACCACGGGCGGACCAGCAGGCGCGCGGTACACAGGCCCACAGCCACAGCCTCGCCTGCAGCCGAGATAGAGCCGAGATCGAGCAGTTCGAGGGAGGGGTGGCGCTGGAGATGCGGCTTCTTGGCACCATGGCAGCACTGCGCCGCACGCCTCGAGGCATCCTCGCGCGGCACAGTCGGCACAGCCTGGTACCCTCGCCGCCTCTGCGCAGCAGGCTGCAGATGCCCAGGGGGGGCAACCCGGTGCAAGCCTCCCTCCACCTCCCCTCACCCCCTGCGCAGGAGGCTTTGGGCGGGGCACTCTCGAGGCGCCATGAGACGCGCCCAAACGCCTACGCAGTTCCATATTTGTCCGCCGCCCCATGCCTCGATCTCGCCATGTGTTTTTCAATGTTTGTCACATCCGCTGGCTCGTGGCTGGCTTCGGGCTCCTACCCGGATAGGGGGCCTAAAGCCGCGTAGAGCTAGTCTCCCCTCTGAGCTTGAGAGACTTCGCGCGCGCCACAAAAAACGCACTATTCCTATTACTAAGGACCTATATATTCTATATAATAGTGTGCGGGCGCGCCGACACCTGCCTATTCCCCGCGGAGCGAAACAAATATTGCAATACAACCGCAGGCAGGGGGCTCGCTTGGTCGATCGCCCGATGGCCCCGTTTCGCGTCGAATAAAGAGAATTGGGTTTCAGAGGGGTTGGACTTGGAGAGAGTTGTGAGTCCGTCAAATGCCATTCGAAAAGGAGCCGGTCGCGACGCAGTACGGCTCGCACCCGTCGATCTCGCGCAGCATCCCCCTGGCCAGAGCTTCGGTAGCGTTGCGGCCATCAGAATCCTCCTTGGTGGCGAAGCAGCAGGTTGGGCACCCGAGCCTGGTGTAGTCGGGGATCAAGTCGACCTCTGCCTGGCTCAGACGTTTGGCAAGCAAGCATCGGCAGTAGCGCTGAGCCTCGACAGAGCCAGCGACGGCGTCGCCGACAAGGTCCAAGCAGGCCGAACAGCCCTCGGCCGTTGGATCCTCCTTGTCTATGCAATGTCTCGGGGAGCGTGCCTTGAATGCGGCAGGGAACTCGCTGAGCAGCCAGAGGTTCCGCATCTCGTCCGCGGTCATGACCGCCTTCATGCCAGTCGGAGTGCCAAACTCGTGCATGAAGAAGTTGATGGAGCCGTGAAGCTGCGAGGGGCAAGAGACTCGGCCGCTATCTGTCACCAGGCAAGTGTCGGGCCGCTTGTCCTCGTTGACATCGTTGGAGTTGAGAACGGCGGGCCGTGAGTCGAAGACCTCCGTCTTGTTCTCGTGGTCCCATACGAGTATTACACACTCCTGCACGTCCAAAACGCTAAACTCGCCGGGGATTTCGTCGAAGTGTTGGCAGTCGTCGAGCTTCTGGTAGAGGAATGCGGATGGCGATCTTCTGTCCCGGATGCCGGTGCTTCGGAAGTGCTCGAGTGGGCCAGGCGGGTCGGGAATCATTCCCTCCATATCCTCCTGGGTGATGATCGTGTTCATCAGGAAGAGGTTGAGCCGCTTGGGATCAGGGAGGTGATCGAAGTTGCCGTCCGCCATTTCCACGGCCGCCTTCTCCGAGATCCCGACGTTGAGCATCGCCTCGACGGTTTGATCCTTCGTCACGAAACCCCACTCGTCGGGGATGAGGTCGCCGCTCTTCACCAGCGAGGCCATGCAAGGGCAGGTGATTTGACGCCAGTTCCAACGGTGAAAGCGCTTCGGTGGCGGCGGTGTTGGTGGCAGAGGCAGTGCTGGCGGCGGAGGCAACGGTGGGGCCAGGACCGTGTTGATGCATGTCGTCGCGCAGGCAGGGGGAGGCGTTGGCGCTGGTGGCGAGGGAAGAGAGGGCGACGGCGGCGGCGGCGACAACGGCGGCGGTGGAAGTGAAGGGGGCGAGGGCGGTATTGGAGGCGACGGGGACGGAGGCGGCAGCAGCGGTTGTGGTGGCATGGGTGGGCTGGCGGTGAACTCGCATATCACCCGGTTCATGGGCAGGCACCGCCCCCAGTCCGAAATGCCAGGCATCGGGTACGGCCGGTAGCCAAACCCTGCGTACGGCTGGCCGCTGTTCTCACAGAACGAGTTCTGCCTGGTGTGGTAGTCTCCTGGCCAGCCCTGGCTCCGGAGCTCGTCGAAAATTGGCGTCACATCTCGCGTCATGTTCGTCAGGTCGTAGTAGCGCGTGCCGACGTGATAGGGGTCGAAGGCCAGCGGTACCCCGCTGAAGGCGGGTAGATTCACGCCGGCGAAGATGGCCTCGTTGCGGAGCCAGATCACGTGCGCGGTGTTTCTGATCGAGACGAGGTCCCAGCCAAGCCCGCGGGCCCTGCACACCTCCTGTACGGCGCTGAACAGCACCATCCCTCCCACTGGCGGTGGAGGGTCAAGGAAGCGAACCTCGGGGAAGGACCGCGGGAGCGGCGGCGGAGACTGCGGTGGTCCGACTGCCGGCAGCCTGGGTGGTGGCGCTGGTGCAAGGAACGGCAACGGTGGCGAAGGCGGCGGCAGGAGGGGTGGCGACAGCGACGGCGGCAACGGCGGCGAGGCGCACTTCACGAATCTCTCTCCTCTTACCCTGCACCTATCTGCCTCGTAGACACACATGCGGCACGGCGTGTTGATGCACTGGTCGGCGGGCGAATTGACCCGAGGCGCCTCGACATATCCTTTGCTGCAGGCATCCGAGCCGCGGAGCCGGTAGCACCAGTCGGCGGTAGAACCGGGAGGGGCTGAATGGCCAAGCAGCCTAAAGAGGCCACTGATTTCGGCGGATCCCTTGCAAGGTATGCTGGGTACTGGTGACGTTGGAGGTGGGGGCGGTAGCAGTGGCGGCATGGGCGAGGGCGGAGATGGCGGTGGAGGTGGCGAGGGCGGCGGCAGCGGCGGCGGCAGCGGCGGCGGCAGCGGCGGCGGCAGCGGCGGCGGCAGCGGCGGCGGCAGCGGCGGCGGTCGCGGTGGAGGCGGCAGCGGCAGCGGCAAGGGCGACAGCGGCGGCAGCGGAGGCGGCAGGGGCGACGGTGGCGGCGGCGGAGGCAGCGGAGGTGGTGGCAGAGGTGAAGGCGGGGAGGGCTGCGGGAGTCGCAGCGGAGCAGAGGGTGGTGCAACGTCGACGAGCGGCGCTTGCCACGGGAGTTCGAAGACCTTGCGGAAGGTGCGTCCTTCGTCGCCTGAGAAGTACAACGCGTAGTGGCTGGCGGCGAAGAGGGCGTGGTCGTTTGCGAAGTTCGGAGAGAAGGCGAGTTTGCCGTTGAAGCCTCTGATGGGAATTTGCTGGATGCTAGACCCCGCGCGCCAGAATTTCGGCGGGAGTTCCGCGTTGGCGTCGTCCCTGGCGAAGGGCGTCGGGATGGAGTGGACTTTGTTGATGAAATTGTACTCGGCGTCCAACTCGCCGCAGACGAGGCCGCCCTCGACGTACGACGCGCAGAGGAGACCGGTCGGCGAAACGTGGAGTCCGTCCAAGCCGAATTTCATTTTGCGTTGACTCACTTGCTGGCGGCCGACGCGGCGGAATTCGGAGCCATCATACGCAAAAAGCTCGCCGTCCATGCCCTTGCCGGAAGTTTCGAGGGCGACGACTATCGGGTCTCCGTTGGCATCCCTCGCGAAGGCGACGTTCGGCCACGATCTCACGTCTGAAATCTGCGACCAGCTGAGGCCGCTGTCGGTGCTTTGGTAGATTTGCACGCGCTGTTCGTCGTTGATGTCCCTCACTAGCGTGACTATTGTGGAGTCTTGTTGAAAACTGGGCGATAGTTTCACATCGACGACGTCGCCGCCGTTGCCTTCCCAAATCCGAGCCCAAGTGAAGCCCCCATCGATCGATTCCAAAACGCCGTGGTTGAAGCCGCAGCCGTAGATGTGCGAGTCAGAGGCGTACTCTATTTTCTGGAGCGACTCGGAATTAAAGCCTCTGTTCGGGTCGATGAGAGGTAAATCCGGTAACGTCTCGTAGTTGTCTTCCGTAAACAAGTCGCCGTCGACTCGCTGAAGCGCCCGGACGCCCTGCTGCGCTCTGGGGACATATCTTAAAGCAAACTCCCCGCTCGGCGACTGCGCGACGGTGTTGTAGGATTCCTGGTTCTTTCGGAGCTGCAAGCGGTTCGCAGTTTGGGACGTCGTGTACGACGGGATTTTCTCTAGGAACGCCATCGACGACCCATCATGTAACTCTGTCACATTCAAATCACCGTGCCAGCAGCCGGCGGCATACGTGCAAATCGTCACCTGAACGTCGGCGACGGCCCAGATGCTGTAAATCGATTGCCGCACGGTGTCTAAGTAAGAGAAGTCGCGCATGTTGTCCGTCTTCCACACGCCAGCGTACGCTCCTAAGTATGCGGTCTGCCTTGTGGGATCCGCCACTACGTGCGTGAATTCTTCCATGCCGGCAAGGCGGCTCAGAAGGCGCTCGACGACGGCTTGTCACCGGATGCGGCAGATGCGGCGGGCGAAGCTGCGGGCGACGCCATCATCGCAGGCTACACGCCCGAGCAGGCAGCGGCGGCTGGCGAGGCGGCGGGCGAGGCGGCTCAAGCAGCCCTTGACGATGGCCTGTCGCCGGAAGCGGCTGATGCGGCTGGCAAGGCAGCGGGCGACCCCATCATCGCTGGCAAGTCGCCCGAAGAGGCGGCTGCTGCGGGCAAAGCTTCCCGGCAAGGCGGCCCCAAAAGGTCCTCGAAGAACGGCTTGTTCACCCGAAGCCCGGGCCGCCCTTC